TTATTCCTCATTAAAAAAAAACTGAAAAATACGAAAAAAAAGAACAATAGAACTATCAACACATAAAATTACCCAATACACGTATATAAATAAGGGAAACATAAAATGGAAAACCATTTTTAACAAATTTTTTTTTGATATATACATACAAAAACACAAGAAAATATTCTACACATTATAATTGAGAAATAGAGTAAGAAAAACAATTAACTCTTTAATTTTGAAATTTGAAAGTTATCAACTCCTAATATATCTCCATTATGTCTCACTTTCACATTCTAATTCAAAATATTCTGAATAACCAATAAACATATGAAAAATGCATTTAAAAAATAAAAATCAACAAAAAAGATTTAAACTATCACTTTTACGAATAAAAATTTACAAACCATGTTTACAACTTTCCTTATAATTGCTCTTCAAACTACGCCATCTACTACTTTAAATAGTGTTACTGAAATTTTAATATTCTACTTCAATTCTCTTTATATCTCTTTCAATATTGTAAAAAAGGTTAAAATTTTAGAAAAAAATGATATACTTAATCGGTGATATAACAATAACAAAAATATTCTGGGACTTAATGTCACACTCATGATTATGGCCCACACTCGAGAATCATTGTTGATTTTCAAGGGAACCTTTGTCCAGTCTGATTAAACAGAAAACTAAATATCAAAACTATCTAAAAATATTGAGTATGAAACATAAAATTTTAAACAAAACATACATACCATCAAATTTAGATAATGTTCTTCATAGGAAACTCATGTTTAAGTTGATTGTCAAGAGCTGAAACATTCATAATCATGACAAAGTGTACAGTATTGTTAAGATTATAGATGATGAGGAGCTGATAATATGTATACACTTAAAGAATCTGAAGTCTTCATTCTTCTTTGAGAAAAGACATAAATTGACACATGAAGTTGTTTTGAATTTTTAAAAAGACATCTTAACTATGCAGATGTCCATTTACCCCCTTAAACTCTTTCGAATATGTATTATTACATCATTTTTGGATCAATTCCAGATTTTAAATGGCAAGTGTAATCACACACCATTCATTGTGCGACACGTGTTAATTCAATTTGAAATATTATTTTTTTATTTTAAGTTTTTTTTATTTCTTTCACTTACTTTTTGACTTATTTTAATTTTATTATTTTAATTTCATTTCAATTTTTAATTCATCTTCTACCCCAACTTTCAAGCTTCCTCCATTTTCTTTCTTTATTCCTTCTTATTTACCTCTTATCCTCACCTAACCCATACCCATATCAAGTTGAGCCCCTCCATTTTCTTTCTCTTTTCATCTTCTTATTTGGTCAAATTTTTTACTTTCCAAAATTATACTATTTTTTAGACTTTGTTGAGTTATTGATAACAAAACTAATTATTTTTCTAAGAAAGATCAAAATTTTGAAGGTATCATCATTTAAATTATCTCATTTCTATATAAATTCAAAACTAGAAATGATAATTTTGAAAGCATAAGAATTCTCCAAAAATTGAAAAAGTTTAATTAGAATTTGGATAAAAAAACAAAATAATGTCTACTAATCATCTTGAAATCTAATGGGTTTATCACATTGTTCAAAATCTATTAAAATATCTAGATATAATTATAAAATTGAAGAGAGTTAATCTAATAGTAGAATAAAAGAGAGATGGAGTTGTGGTAAAAAGTGACACTAAAAGTTATAAGTTAATGAATATGACAATGAATTTTTGAAGAAGAAGGAAGAAAGAAAAAGAAAAAAATAATAAAGAGAAAAATTTTAAATAATAAGAAAAATAAAAATATATATTTTATAGTAAAATTCTTGTAAAAATAAAAGTATATTCGTTTTTCTAGTTTGTTCACGCTCTTTAAGAGAGTGTATACACTCTCCATGCCAGGTGGACAAAAAATGATATAATAATATCAGTTCAGAATTGTTTAAGGGGGTAATAGGACACTTGCATAGTTTAAGTGTCTTTTTGAAAATTCGGGACAACTTCAAGTGTTACTTTATGTCTTTTCTCTTCTTCTTTTAAAATTGTTACTCTTATCATTAGTTACAATAATGTTGTTGGGTATATAGGAAGAGTTAACATAAAATGGAGGGAAGATATAAAGAGAGGAACTTCAAAAGTTGGAAACTTGAAGAGTTGGAAACTTGAAAATTATATTTTAGTGAAAAGTCATTTCTCTCTCATCGCTGATGAAAAGAAAAATAAAAAAGACTCCTATTAATTGTTAAAAAGGTTGGAAAGAGGGAACCCTCCACTACAAAAAACACTTAAAATCTGGGGGTTAAAATTACATATTCCGGAGATCAGTAACCCCCGCAACTTAGTTTTAGGGCAGTTGCAGAAACTCCTACAATTAGGTGTGCCACAATTATGTTGCAGGGTTTTTTATCCAACCCCTGGTACCAGTAGCGGAGGTTTACTACTGGGGGTTATGAACCCACAAATTGATAACTGCACAAATTCTAGAATTTAGAACCCCAACAATTATATACTCTGGGAGTCAAAAACCCCACGATTCATGAATTATACATTAAAACTAACAAGAGTTTTAACCCCTGCTATTTATGAAATGTATCTTTTTCTAAAATTTTGCTTGAAATTAAATATTTAAATTTAAATAATAATAACTAATTAATTAACATAGACAAATCTAAAAGGGCATATTAGTATATGAAATAACAGAATAGTTCACCACAAAAGCATGTCATAAAGTGTACAATTAGTTCTACAAACTTAATTGGAACATGTTATTCACTTCAACCATATTATTACAAGAAACTTTCAATCACTACAAAAACTTGCTTGAACTTCAAATCACTACAAAAAATTGCTTAAACTTTAATCACTGGCATCCAAACTCAAGAAAGGATCTACAACTGTTTATGAAACTTCAGCGGGGTTCACTACGATTACTATCACTAATATCACCTGGCTGCAAAGAAAAATACACATGTAAGTGACTTCATCCAAACTCAAGACTTTTACTCCGATAAAATATGAAATAATGCAAGCTAACACTAAGCATGTGAAAAACAATACTAAATTCACTACTATGAAAGTAAATATCAATGCCACTCATTAACAAATAGGTCAACACTAACATGTAAAAATATGTTCTGGACCATGAGTACTGCCTTGCCCATAAAACTTTGCCAAAAGTAAAGAAGCTAATCTTAGTAGATATGTCACTAGAAAACACGGTGGATCCAGAAAATGGCTGCACCTAAACGAACATATCTGATATATAAATAAGGTCATTGAAGAAGAGAGAATGTAAACATTATATTTACCATTGTAGTAGTAGGAGCAAATAGCACCACAAATTGTTCTGGTAATGCCCCTTTATATGACTTGAAAACAACCATCATTTGAATGTGAGAATTCAACAATTTATTGTAGTTTTCCTTGCAATTGGATGGACATGAAACACTCGAAGAATTCATACCGCTGAATCGAGGTCTTGCTTGTTTAAAAACTCTAGTGGGAACAACTCCTAATCCCAAACACCTTACCCTTCCAGAGTGCTCTTTTCCTAGAATTTTTCCAACTGCATCATCTGGCGATACTATAGACTCATCCACAGTGCTTTGACTCAAAGTTTGCTGAATATTTTCCTGAGTATAGTACACACACGGAACACTTTATCAAAATTTTAAAAAGTAATTGAAAACAAAGATGTATTACCTAAATATAATCAAAGTGCATTCACATATTCGTGAGTTAGGAATTCCTTTACTCCTGAGTTTAGCATTCATAAAATACATTTTCCTGGGTTAGGCATTCATATTTTATGCAAAGTACATGCATATATTCAATCCAAGTGAGAGATAAGTAGTATGACATAATTTTAAATCATTACTCAAGCAAAGATTTTAAATCACTTCAAAATGACAGCACACTATACTAAACAAGGCACTATCAAACTAATTTGAACAATAGCAATGACGAAAATATTAACAGAGAATCTCAGCTTTAAAATAAATAAGAGACTAAACATAAACTGCTTGACTTAACTTGTTAATAGAATAGGGACATACTTGACACAACTAAGGAACTGAAGTGCTATTATTTCCCCCATTAACTAACTTACACAAATAACTTTTGCCGCTTCATTTACATATGCTCTATCTACATTCTTATGAGTAGCAAGATAAAGTCACAGCCATCTATAAGCAAAACAATCAACTTAGAATAACTTAACTAACTAAAAATAATTACAAAATAAGTCATCTTAATAACTAAATAAAGTGAAAAGAACTAAAATCTTTAACCATTTCAGCCCTTCTTCTAGAGTTAGCTTTGGATCCACTTGTGTGTGGAATGATTTATTTCTTTCGACTTTCAGCATTTCTGTTGCACATTTTCCTAACAAAAAAGATAAACGAAATTTAATCATTAGAAAGTAATTGTATGACTACACATACTACTTAAAATAATTAAATATATATACCTGTGTTTCTTTTTTATAACAATAATTAACATAAGAAGTCCACTGATCTCTTGGAATTCCAGGTGGAACATTATCCATAATTTGAGTTTTGCTTTAAAATGGATCACTGAACACTTTCCATATGTCCAACCTATTTGCACTCCACTTCTTTGAAATACAGTTATAAACATATCATTGAGCAGCTAAGTTGGTTGTCTAAAAAAAATCGAGGTTTCAATAATAAACACTAGTTAGCTTACCTATTAAATTTAAATATAAAGATTTGAGAAAAGAATATAAGTATAGTATTCAGAATATAGAGTTTATACCACTATGATTTGATCAAAGACGCTATCGAAGTATGACATAGGCATATTTGGCCATTTGTCAAAGTGCATTGGAAATAAGGACGAATCAGCAGCTAAAATTCCACAAAAACCAGAAAGAAGGGGTTGTGCTTCTCCAAATGGACAATCTAGGTAGTCAAAATTGACCACAATACGATCTTCTCCAGATAATTTAGCACTTCTTTGACTTTCACTTTAAATTTTTTTTTGTTTCCTTCTGAATCTGGAATAGTGAAAATGATATGAAATGAAAACATGTTCAATTTGCCAACCAATCATGTTCTAGAGTGGGTTGTAGTACTTGTTTATATTTTTAATTGTTTCCCTCTATTGTTCCACAGTGGGTTGTTACCTTTTATTATTCTTTATTATGTGATGTATTCTTTACTGGAAATACAAAAAAAGATGGCAAAATGGAGGGGTCAAATAATATAACCAGAGAGGTCACATGTAACCCCATTCCAATTGCACCATCATGGCAATTTATTTGACAAAGTAGAATCATATTGGAAGCTTCCCTTCAATTACAGCAATAATGACTTTTGATCATCAACACATTGAGGGGAAACCAAGAAACTTGTATTTTTTTTCACTTTGTGATTGAAATGAAGGGAGTAGGTACAAAAGAAGATGAAAAGTGAGGGGAAAAATAGGACAAGCCCCTTTAACAAGAAGAAGAAAAACAATACAAATGGAGAAGAATAAAAAAAGATGAAAAAGAAAGCAGAAGTGTAAAGTTTACCTATTGCTTCTACGGTGCAATACTCCGTAGACTCACGTCCAACAACACGCTTCTTAAATGATTTCGGTTGTGATTTGGCCTGACTTGATGAAGTCGAATGTGATACAGCCTGATTTGAGGAAATAGACTGTGATGCAGCCTGAGTTGACTGAACCGGATGTGATGTAGCCTGAACTGAGGAAGTCATCTGTTTTTTCTCCTTAACTGATGAAATCGATTGTGATGTGGTTGGTTGTGCGTTGGGCTGAACTGACAATGTAGGTTGTGTTTGAACTGAGTTTTGCAAGTTCTGCCAGCGCTTGGTCTTTGCCATTTCTACAATAAACCAAAGATATGATAAATAAGAAATTCTTAAAAAAAATATTGTTATTGAAATACTTGTAAAGATTACTGGTTCATCCAGTTATAAGACTGCAGATTTTCATAAGAAATTTGTATCCAGATCCACACACACATGAAAAGTTCAAATCTTAATAAAAGAGTGATGTGATTAGCATATACAAATAGTTTTTCCTTTACACCAAAACTAAAAAGCATGCTATGTGTGTTCAGACATATGCTCCTCTGTTGAGATTTGGACATTTCCATAATCAACATCGGAAAAAATTTCACTTGTTGTTGGTAGGGCTCATTCTCAAATATCTCTTCTTCATCAACTTGTCCCATGTCAAACACATCTCTTGGTTGTAAATGTATAGCTACACTCCATTCTTTATTTGTTTCATCATCAACATAGAAAACCATATTTGCTTGTGATGGTTCAATATAAGGATCATCATCCTCACGATTACCGGTGTGAATCAACTTAGAAAAATTGACACAATTAAAGTTCCAAACATCTCTTTTAAACCCTCTATCTCGAGTAGTGTAAGCCCACTTGCATTTGAAAAGGACAACCCTGAACTTTCCATAATAGTTAAGCTCAATAATATCTTCCAACTTCCCATAATATGGCAAATCTGCTTGTCTTGCATTTCTATCAGCACTAGACGCAACACAAGAAGTGTCAGACATAAGAAAAACTCCACTATTTTGAGTTTTCAATCTTTGTTCTCTTGACAAAGTTCGAAATTTTAACCCATTAATGTTATAAGAAGTGAATCTTCTTGCATATGGCGCTGGACCTTGTGCTAAAAACTTTATATCATCAGAGATTCTGTCTTCTATATCTGGATTCATTATCTAAATAAGAAAAATATTTTCGTCAGATTTTCTAAATTGAATTAGAAATCCTATGCAAAACTATCATCATTCAATCACTCACCCGCTTAGGAAACCAATTAGTAAACTCTCTATTAATTCTCTTTTCTACCTCTGTTATCGAAGGTTTTCTGCCTCTTGAACTCCTTTTAATGTGTTGCCTAAATTCACTACAAATAAAATCAATGAACAACCATTTTAATAATGTTTTTTAATAGATCAAACTTATTTAAAATACTTACTCAATAAATGGCTTTGCTGAAGCGCAATTAAGTAATACATATCGATGAGCTTGAGTTTTCTCCAAATTAGTCAAAGGAAATGTTATGAAGCCTTCGACAACTTTACCTTGTCGAGGGAACGTAGATGACCTTTCAAGAACCTCATCATGATTTGTTTCATCATTTACTCGTTTAGGACTATTTACGCTCGATTCGATATCCTCAAAATAACAAGAATAAAGAGTTAGATCTTCTTCAATTTTTTGACCTTCAGCTATACATCCTTCTGCCTTTGATTTGTTCCCTATAAGGGACTTCAAAATGACCTAACAATCTACCATTAAAATTACATAGTATTAGAACAAGCATTTACTTTGAGACAAAAGTTTTTAAAAATAAGATATTTTACCTTTTAACAAAATACATCCATCGATAACGTACTGGACCACCTAGTATTACTTCATCTACTAAATGGACAGTTAAATGAACCATTACAGTAAAAAAAGATGGAAGGAACAACATCTCTAGGTGGCAAAGAGTGATGACAATCCGTTTTTGTAGTTTTTCAAGGTCCATGAGGCTCAAGTTTTTTAGACAATGTGTCCAAAAAGGAACAGAACTCTACCAAAATTGCTACAACTTGATTTGGAAGAACATTGCGAATTGCTATCGGCAGTAATTGTTCCATAATGATGTGACAATCATGACTTTTTAATCCAAAGATCCTCTTTGATTCTAGATGTATACAACGATATATATTACTCGAATAACCATCAGACATTAAGATATTCTTTAAAGTTGTAAGGAAGGTCAGTTTCTTATCCTTTGGAATTGTAAATGCACCAAGCCGAAAATCACCATTCTCATCTGCCCAAAGGTCTTCCCTTATACCCATATCTTGTAGATCTTTTCAAGCTTCAATGTGATCCTTTGACTTTTCTCTATCATTTAACAGAGTGTGAATAATATAGTCAAAAACATTTTTTTAATATGCATAACATCTAAATTATGACGCAACAATTTAAATTCCCAATAAGGAAGATTGAAGAATATGCTTTTTTCTTCCACTGTTTAGTTGAACCTTCACCCATACTGCTTTGTCTATTTTTTTTCTTTTTCTTTTTATTTTATCATTCAACTTTTCTTGTATTCCAAATGTAACATTAATATTTGTCACTTGTTGCAAAGTATCAGATCCAGATAACTTTTTTTTGGGGGGGGGGTGTTTCTTTCTTCTACAGTTCCATCAAAATTATTCCTCATTAATCTGAATTTATGATTTCTTGCCAAAAATCAACGATGACCAACAAAGCACCACTTTCTACTATGAGTAAGTTGACAATGTTTTATGTCAAAATTACAAGATGGACATGCAAAGCCGGTATATGTGTTCCAACCAGATAAGATACCGAGTCCCGGAAAATCACTAATTGTCCACATAAGAGCTGCCCGCATTCTAAAAATTTCATTCTTTGATGAATCAAAAGTCTGTACACCTTCACTCCACAACTCATTCAACTCCTTAATAAGTGGTTGTAAGTATACATCTATGTTATTTCCCACCATTCGTGGACCTGGAATGATCATTGATAGAATAGAATTTAGTTGTTTCATGCACAACCAAGGTGGTAGGTTATATGGAACCAAAATTACAGGCCAAATTCTATTATTAGTTCTCATCGCTCCAAAGGTTGAAACCATCACTAGCTAACCCTAATCGAACATTTCGAGATTCAAAAGCAAATTCAGGATAAGTTGTATCAAATCTCTTCCATGCCTCACCATCTCTAGGATGCCTTAAGATTCCATATTTGTTGCCACCTTTCGTATGCCACCTCATATGTTCTTCCATCTTAGAGCACATGAACAGTCTTTGTAATCTTGGCTTTAATGGGAAGTAACGCAAAATTTTTGCAGGTCTCTTTTTTTTCTTCTTACACTTAGCAACCACTTTATTGTTTGTATTCTTCTCATCAAGCTTCCATCTCGAAGTATGACAATGCTTGCATGTTTCCTCATTAACATCATCTCCCCAATACAACATGCAATCATTTCGACAAGCATCAATCTTAACATAATCAAGACATAACTTGTTGATAGTTTTCTTAGCCTCATAAAAAGAATCAGGGATCTTTGCAAATTCAAAGGCATCCCCGAGTAGATCCAATATCATAGTCATTCCTTTGTCACTTAGACTAGACAAACACTTTATGTGATATAACTTTAACAAAAACTCTAATTTTGAGCTTAGACCCTTCATACAATTCTTCCCTTCCATCTTTGAGCAACTCAAAAAAGTCTTTGTCATATGATGTGGATATATCCTTTAATATCTCTTCTTCTGCCACTATTTGAGATGGACCTACATCAAATCTCTCTTGCCTAAAGCCATGAAATGCTTCGTTAATCAATAATTCTACAGGATTTTTTGGAGGCAATGTATCCTGAGTAAACTCTTTGCTTTTAGAATTTTGTAACGCACTTGTTTCCCCATGCATAACCCAAATGACATAATTTTGAGGAAATGACTTGCAAATAAAATGATCAAATACTACCTCTTTAGTCTGCCATTTTCCAAAACAACATTGAGGACACAGGCATTTTATTCTATCTTCTATAGCTCCATTTTTAAAAGCAAATTCCAAAAACTGATTCAAACCAACCAGATATTTCTTTGTGGTCCTTGGCATTCTAATCCAAGATTTATCCATCGAAAAAATAAAATTAGCAGACAATATCACCTATAAGATATTCATGAGAAAATAATAAGCTTAGAGTGATATTTAACAATTTTATGTCCCAGCTAATGCAGAAATGAAGTATATGCAGAAATGGTCATAATGTTTTCTTTTTGCATGCCAAAATTGTAACATAATGAACACAGGAAGTGGATGTGGATTTACAGAACAATAATCTGAGAGAAAATGTCTATTTTTTCTCTATTTAGTAATATTGTAGTAAGCGCACCTGAATTATTTACAGGCTTGTACTCCATATTCAATCACTTTGTGTATGTACTAACTTAGTCGGTAGAAACTCATTGATTTATTTTGTAAGTAAAATAATACAGATAGCTGAGATTGACAAAGATCAGCATCAATTTCAACAAATGAACTTGATACCAAGAAGTTCATCAAGCTATCATCAAAGAGTACCAACATATATCAAAAAGGGGTCAGAGTACCTCAACTTTCTTTATCCTCAAACAAACAAGATCTAGCAGCTCTCCAGTTCCAGCTCTAGTTCAAGATAAAGAAAATATTGAAAGGGAGGTCAGACCTGATAAATAAAACAAAAGAAATATTTTCTATAAGATTATGCAAAAGGAATATCTAAACAACAGTCATGATATCACAACATTTGCTTATACAGAACGACTAACTTAATGTTATGAATCTATCTATGAAAACTCAAGTTATGAACTAGCCAGATCACTAGAAATCATGTCACTCAAGTCAGTATTCATCAAAAAATGGTATTTAGGAGTCTTATCTAAATTGTATTCTTTATCAGCTTTAATGCAAAGAGCAACGTCAAACCAGATTGAACATTCAGAATGTCATGTATATTACCTAAGACTCTGAATCCTAAATGTTGGATCTGTCTTAAAATGATAAACTAGAATGAACGTAAACAGACCAAAGACTGGTTAATGAAAACATATTTTCTTAACTGGAAATGGAAGATGTTAAAGATCTGAAGCAACACGCCTCGAAGTCCTCTCCGGAGGAGGATCGATCACATAGTGCGATCCAAACCAGCCAAAATGCTGATGAAAAACCAAACTCCGAGAATCAACAACTAAACATGGATGCTTCGTAGCATGTAGAAGAGGTTACTCAAAGATCGTCGTTGGAGAAGAGTGAGACTCATCAAACAGGAGCTACTATGGTTGATCAGGAAGACTCGTCTCAATCTGTACATAGCCCTAAGCCATCGGAGCCTCCTATCGATACAAATTGTTCCAAAGAGGAAGAACATGTTCAATCTAATAGTAGTACCAAAAGTGCTGATGATTCGTGTTCTACTTCCCACGTCCAAGAGACGAAACCTGAAAATACTACTCGTGTAGAGTCATCGGATATCATTGACAAGTCTCCCACTCTTAGAATCAAGATTCCAGGGCCTACAACTTAGTCTAAGCAGCCTGAGAACTTTGATGCAAACAGAGTTAATATCGATACAGCAGCACCAATCCAATCTGTGAAATAGGTAGTTTCAATGTTTGGAGGGATTGTTGACTGGAAGGCTCATCGACAACAAACAGTCGAGGTATTCTCTCCAACGCCTCAACTCTCTAAAATAGAGTTAATGGTCAAAAACACACCTACCGTATCTCAATTTTTCGAGTTCCAAACCTGAATTATCACCAAAACACACCTTAACTATCAATTGTTTACTTGTGCTACTTGAAATATAACCATCGTTCAAGTAGGAATAGGGAACAATAGATAGTTGACGTGTATTAGGTAAAGAGGTTGGTAATAGTTCAGATAGGAAACTCGCATGCCTGATAGTAAACTCAAAAGACGGATACTTTAGGTTTGTTTTTGACTCTTCACTCTCTAAAATAAGCACTTTTATCTTCTCGAAGCTTGGCCTTACAGGCTCTTTCATGTTATTTTCTTGACTTGAAAAGTTCATTTTTTTTCTTCTTTGATTGTGCAGAGACGGAATCTTATCGAGCAAGAACTAACAAAAGTGCAAGAGGAGATCCCATTGTATAAGAAACAATGTCAGGATGCAGAAGATGCAAAAGTGCTAGTTTTGAAAGAACTAGATAGCACTAAGAGACTCATAGAAAAGTTGAAGCTTAATCTAGAGAGAGCACAAACAGAAGAGCAACAAGCACGACAGGATTCGGAACTTTCCACGCTCAGGGTCGAAGAGATGGAGCGGGGTATTACTGATGACTCAAGTATTGCAGCTAAAGCACAGCTTGAAGCTGTAGTTTCAGAGCTAAAATATGTTAACTCCGAATTAGATGTTCTCCGTAAGGATTATGATTTATTGGTATCCGAAAAAGATGTTGCTGTGGAAAAAGCAGAAGAAGCTGTTTCAGAATCAAATAAAGTTGAGAAGACAGTTGAGGATTTGACAATTGAGCTCATTACTTCAAAGGATGCTTTGGAGGCTACACATGCTGCACATTTAGTCAAGAAAAGTATACTACAAAATATTTATCCCCTTGCATGATCTATGCCACATCAAGAAAACTTCTCTTCATTCTATAACTGCATCAATATGTAACAAATCCTATCTATGCACATTAAAAAAACAAAGTCTCAAAAATTTGCAGCATTTCTACA